GTGGGATTTTCTGTTGCAGTATTCAGCAAATAGAATACAGGAGCATGGTTAGATTCATTTCACATGATGTATGTGCCGGGTGTGAGGGTTGCATAAGCTAGAAAAACTCAATGGAAGGAAATACTATTTTGACAAAGAAAGCCTAGAGAATGTGTGGGATTTTTGTTCAGATCGCAAATTGCAGGCGGGAGTCTGTCGGGAGGGAAAGGAGTAGTAAGCAGAGGAATGACACAGGAGGTGGGATCAGAGGTGGGAATGGACCGAGCATGTTACAAGACACAGTAAAGCAATCTGGCCGAATGGGAGGGCTGCAGAAAGGCCAGCATGGAAGGAGGGTGTGAAAAGGGCCCATCTGACAAAGATCAGGTAAAGTACAAACTCTCTAGCCTCCAAGTCCACGCCATATCTTCCAGGCAGTGGGGATCTGATGAAGGTTATTGTGCAGGAGAGTGATTTAAGACGATTAACGTGGTAGCAGTCTGCTCCATCCAGAGATGGGAGAGGGAGATCGGCTGGAGGCAGGAAAACTGGTCTAGGAGGCTGGCAAAGGAATCTGACATTCAGGAAACAGTAAGAGAGGAAAGAGGGTTAGAGGCAAAGGACAAAAAGTTGCCCTCACTCTGCTCCCTGTACTTCTCACACTACAGAATTCTCGTTCTCAAATGTGAGTGACTTGCATAGTTTCTCTCACCCCATGAGACTCCTCTCTCCCTCCATTCCTTCCTTCCCCTCCCTCCCTCCTTTCCCTTCTTTTTTTCTTTCTCTTTCTCCTTTCCTTTCCTCTTCTCTCCTTCATCTTCCTTCTTTCCTCCTTCCCTTCCTTCCTTCTTCCTTCCCTTTCTCCCTTCTGTGTTCTTTCTTTCTTTCCAGAGAGGGAAAGAGAGACGAGAGAGAGAGAGAGCGCATATGCGAGCGAACGCATGTACACGGGGGGGGGGGGTGTGCAGAGAGAGAAGGAGAGAGACACTTTTTTTTATTAACATATAATGTATTATTTGCTCCAGGGGTGCAGGTCTGTGAATCATCAGGCTTACGCATTTCACGGCACTCACCATAGCACATACCCTCCCTGATGTCCATCACCCAGCCACCCTATCCCTATCCCTATCCCCCTACCCCCCAGCAACCTTCAGTTTGTTTTGTGAGATTAAGAGTGTCTTATGGTTTGTCTCCCTCCTAATCCCACCTTATTTCATTTTTTCCCTCCCTACCCTCCGTGAGCCTCTGCCCTGCCTCTCAAATTCTTCATATCAGAGAGATTATATGATAATTGTCTTTCTCTGATTGACATTTCACGTAGCATAATACCCTCTAGTTCCATCCACATTGTTGCAAATGGCAAGATTTCGTTTTTTTGATGGCTGCATAGTATTCCATTGTGTATATATACCACATCTTCTTTATCCATTCATCTGTTGATGGACATCTAGGTTCTTTCCATAATTTGGCTGTTATGGACATTGCTGTTATAGACATTCGGGTGCATGTGCCTGAGAAGGAGAGAGACTCTTAAGCAGGCTCCATGATCAGATCAGTGAGGAGCCTGACGTGTGGCTTGATCTCACAACCCTGAGATCATGACATGAGCTGATATCTAGAGTCATTTAACCAACTGAGACACCCAGGAGCCCCTCTTCTTTCCTCCCTCCCCATTCCTCCCTGCCTCCCCCACCTCCTTCCTTCTTTCCTTCCTTCCCTCTTTCCTCAATACTTACAGAGTATTTACTGCTTACATACTGGATGTTGTATAAGGCACTAAAGACTCAGAGAAGGAAATCTGATTCCTTAGCAAACAAGAGAACCAAGTGACATTTAGCAGGTGACCAAGTAAAAGTGTGTGTCAGGTTTTAAGGGTACACAGAGTAGGGGGCCTCTAATCCAGAGAAAGTATCAATTGAACTCAGCCTGGAAAAACCAGGAGGAGGTCACAGGGTGGGGTAGGGTAGCAGGGAGGGCTTCAGGAGCTTTGGTTGCCTGGGGAAACTGCATCCCAGAGTGTGTGTGTGTGTGTGTGTGTGTGTGTGTGTGAGAGAGAGAGAGAGAGAGAGAGAGAATGGGAAGGGCCATGAGATCAGAGAGGGCTTTCTGTGTCCTGATAAAGAATTTGGGTTTTATTCCAAACACGCTGGGTGGTCCTGGTGGATTTTACACAGAAGGATGACATTAACTTCTTTTTAGAGTCATCAAAACTCAGGCTTTGAAGACAGATTGAGACCGAGTGTTACTCTTGGTTCAGCCACTTGGTGGCTGTGTGAGTTTGGACAATTTACTTAATGGCGTGAAGCCTAGGTTTCTTCTTTAAAATCGAAAACAAACAAACCCAACTTCCTCATAGGTACTATTGTTTTTATTTGCCAAGAGGATTAAATGAATACCATTTGTAACATTCTTAGCACAGGGCCTGGCACATAGAAAGCCCTCCAATCCTGATGGCTACTCTCTACCAGCACTCATATCATTATTATGATTGTAAAAATTGATCTGGGAGTGGTATGCAAGGTGTGGCAGAGGTAGGGGGTAAGCTGGAGGAAGGGAGACTACTTAGGATGCTTCTGGAAGAATCCAGGGAAAAACTAACTAACTTTCTTACTTTTCTTTCTTTCTTTCCTTCCTTCCTTCCTTCTTTCTTTCCAGTACACAGCTGTCGTTCAGAAGGAATAAAAAAAGTTTGTGGACTAAATTAAAAGGAAGACTGAGCAGAATTTACTGATTGATTAGCTCAGAGAAACCAGGAGAGAATAAAAGATGACTTTAAGGCTTCAAGGTTGGGTGACTGCAGAGTTCTGGTGCTGTTAACACAAAGAAACCCTTTCTCTCCCCATCCCATGGCTCAGCTTTCTCAGACCATTGTTCGCCTGACACCTTCCGGTGGTCACCCGCTTTTTCAATTTCATTTATTCGCCCAGTGATTGTGCTGTGCGTGTCTGCCACTTTGTCTTTTTCCAGAATGCCTTGTCATAACCATAATGGAAGCATATCTGAATTTAAAAACTTCAACTTTTTAAAGCCTCAGACTCCACTTACAAATTGGTCTTGAACACGTCTCTCTAACTCCTTCCAAACCTCATTTCATTTTTAGATCCTATAGATGTCTTTGGAAAGACTAGCATCCTATGCCTCTATGTGCGGGGGTTAATAGGATCCCATACTTTTACAATTAATATTGTGTCTGAAACAAAATATTTTTATGGCTTCTCAGTATTATATAATTGTCATTTTCCCTCATATATGGAATTGTATTTTTGGTCCCATGTCACAAACAAACAGACAACCAAAACTGGCTCAGCTTTTGGCTTTTCTTTTCTGGCTAATTGGTGCTTCCCCTCTAACTCAGAAGACATTTGGAAAAACCTGGGAATTTGACATGAGGTCTTGTTCTAGCCAGGTCATCTGTCCACCATGAATGACTGATTTTAGTACCAGGTAAGAACAGGTGGGGCTGAAGCCATGGCCATCATTCTCTGGGTTTTCTTTTTTTTCCCTTGAGTTTGATTATTCTGATTACTAAAAATGCCCTGCTGTTTGTCAAAAAACAGGAATTTTGAGAGTGCTGAGGCTCGGTTAGCCAGGTCAAGTCTCCAGTAATATATATAGAGATTGTGTTTTAGAGTGGAAAATTTTAATAAATATCTTATACGAAAACAAGTGACACATGGTAAACAAGTTGAGAGTTGGTCTCTACTAGTGAAAATGGCAGTGTGTAGATCTGTCCACAGTCTCTGCCTGATTGTTGGGAGTCAGCTGTCGCAAACAAGAGGACGTAGAGAAAACGCACCTGCCCCTCAGGATGGCTGTCTGATCTCAGCATCATTAGCTCCTGAGGTCCCACCAATAAAGTTAGAATTCCTGTAGACCCACAGCAGCTCACATGCGGTCCTTCTACTCCTTCTCTCTACTGGTCCCCTAGTGTGTGTGTGTGTGTGTGTGTGTGCGCGCGCGCGCACGCGCGTGTGTGCGTGTGTGCGTGTGTGTGTGCGCATTTCAGAAATAGTACATGCGAGATGGGAAATTAAATGTCTCTGTGGGAAAAAGCAGTGTTTCAGGTTCTCAGCATTTTAGTCAGCTGCTCTCGTATTTTTCCAGACTGTAAATATATTATTAAGCTATTAAAAATCTGTTCATCGTGATGAAAAAAGGTAGGAACTCGATAGTTCTTTCCCAGTTGCCATTTGTCCAAAAACAAATATCTAAACACTTTAATTATCCTTTTAATTTCCCTTAGTGGTGGCAGGATAATCCTACTCGTCTTCATGAGGGGAGCAAAAAGTCTGTGCTGGGAACATAGCAAGACAAAAATCTCCCTGGGCTAGCCTGTTTATCCAGTGGTAAGGACTTTGGCAGCTCCCTGGTGAGGGCGCTGGTGTGGGAAGGGAGAGGTAGAGAGGACAGGAATCTCTTTTAAATCACAGACAAAAGGAAACCAGGAAGTCAGGAGAAATTACTGCTCATAGCTCAAGATGTTAAAGGCAATAGGCTCCCCTGGTTGGTTAATCATTAGCAAAAAGGAAAGCTCTGTGGGGGTCAGGACCGGCCAGACCACAGAGACCGACTCAAGCAGGGAGAGAGCTCCTGGCAGAGGCAAGAAGTGATCTTACCTGCAGTTCACCTCTTTCTTTTACTGACTTTACCTCGGGACCTAAAGCAAGATGACTCTTCTGTTCTTAGACGTTTGTCTAAATGAAGCTCTCTTGATTTCATTTTTGCTCTGGGACTCCTAAGCAGAGAAGAAGAAAAGGCATCTTCCCCTGAGCAGCCTCCCAGCTCCCATTCAGTTTGGTACTGGGGCAGCAGCTCCAGCCACAGAAAGCAACCCGGTGAGTGTGTCCCCAAGCGGGGGTCACTGCAGGCAGATCTGCCCCTCGTTGTGAAACGGGGCTTTGCACACTTTCTGAAGCCCGGGGAATTGGTGCTGACTTCCAAGCTGCCTGGTGGAAGAAGAGAAAGTTCATCTGCAGACCTTCAGGGGAGAGGGCCCTCTCCCCTCCCCCCTACCACAGCACCATGGGCAACGTTGGTCTGAGGTTCTGGGCATGCTTGCGGCCCTGTCTCCCCTGCTTGTTCCAGGAGGCCGACAAGCCAGGAGTGGTGATTGAGAACCCCATGGCTTGCTGCTCCCCCGGTCCTCCCCAGCTGCAGAGTCAGGAGCCTGGGAGAAGCCAAGGCCACTACTTTGTGGCTCTGTTTGACTACCAAGCTCGGACCGCAGAGGACCTTAGCTTCCGCACGGGCGACAAGCTCCAAGTCCTGGACACTTCCCGGGAGGGCTGGTGGTTCGCCAGGCACTTGGAGAAAAGGGGAGATGGCTCTGGCCAGCCGCTGCAGGGCTATATTCCTTCCAACTATGTGGCTGAGGACAGGAGCCTGCAGGCAGAGCCGTGAGTAGTACAAATCCACACTTGTTTCTCAACTCTCTGGGGGCGGATGAGCTTTCCTTCTTACCTATCTGCAACTCCCTAATTTCCAAAGAGCCACCCAGAAAATATGAGGAAGTCCTGGCAGGAACCTTCTCATTGAAACACACCTTTCCTGCTCAGTGAGAGTGAAACTGGCAGGTAATTGTTGTGGAAATGACATCTATTACAATATGTAAACCCAGGGGCCCAGGGTGCCTCTTCATCAATGTAAACAAATAGTGCATTTAAGGCCCTACCTTTGCTTTGGCTGTAAAATAAATCATGCCTCACTTGAGTAACAGAACTGCATTTCATTGGCAGGTAGGTCATAGATCTTCCTTACATCACCCTTTCAAATCTGAAGTCCAGCCCTCTTGCTTTTAAAACTTTTGAAGGATCAACCCCCAACCCTAACTCTAATTTTAATCCTTTTTCATTCTGTTAGGCACACACAGGGCCAACTAACATACAGGGTTTAACATTTAGAAGATGCTAATTTTTCACTACTTTTTCCCACTGAAATCATGACTAGACTTTTTTCTTTGAGTACCAGATATGGACTTATGCTACCCAAATTGTGATCGTTTGGAGCTTTTGTTATGATTAGAAACTGGCCAGCTACAGATATTTAGTAATGGTAGAGAGGAGGTGATAAAGACTACTCTGATATTTGAAAAAAATCCTATGAATTATGATGAACCCACAGAGGACAATTACATATACTTTTCCATTCATCCGTCCATCCATCCATCCATCCATCCGTCCATGCATCCATGCATGCATCCATCCATCCACCCATCCATGCATGCATCCATCCATCCATCCATCCATGCATCCATCCATCCATCCATCCATCCACCCACCCATCCATCCATCCATCCATCCATCCACCCGTCCGTGCATCTGTGCATCCATGCATGCATGCATGCATGCATCTATCCATCCAGGCAAGTGCCAGGCACAGTAGTGGCATGGTGAGTGGGGGAGGAGGGAGGTTATGCTAGTGGTGGTTGAATATAAAGGAGGTAAAACACAGTCTTGATAGTGGATATTTGAGGTTTGGTGGGTTGAGAAGCATGTGGGGACTGTTACTGGCCCTAACTTTGTTCCCACCTGGTTTCCGTGAAACCCAAGACTGGGAATATGTCCCAGGACTCATTTTATAGAATGGATCCTTAGTAGAGGAATGAACCACTGGGGATTCACTCAGTCTCTCATATGGTTCTCCTTTTCTATGAGAGCTGCAGCATCATTTACTAGCCCAGGGAATGAAATGGCAAGGAAGTGCTCTTGGGGTAGTACTGCTGCTTGCTAAACTCAGATACAAATGCAGAAGGAGATTTGATTATTTTTGAGATTCTTTCCAACACCAGGAACCTATACATGTTAAGAAGGCTCTTATTTATGCCTAAATTTTATGCCTAGAAATGAATTGAAACCTAGACTTTTGATGAATGGAATGGTTCTCACATGAGAAAGTCATCTGCATAGACATTTGTTTTCTGTGTTAATTTATAGGAAATACCTTATTCATTGAATGCTTACTTATGTGCATTTATGTTTTCACTACTATATGATTTACAGACATGATATGGTATTATGGTATGATGTGGTAGTATGCTATTATATTTTATATTCAGCATAAGACATGCATACTGTATGAATGAATACTAGAATATTTATATTAGAGTCTTGAACTCATAATCTAATATTTTTATCATTCTATTTTTTATTCATCATGATAAGTGTACTCTCTAACCCACACCCCATATTTCCCCCATCCACCCATCCACATCCCCTCTAGTAACCACCGGTTTGTTCTCTCTAGTTAAGAATCTCTTTGTTGATTTTGCTTTCTCTCTCTTTTCCCCTTTGCTCATTTGTTTTGTTTCTTAAATTTCACCTATGAGTGAGATGATACGGTATTTGTCTTTCTCTGACTTACTGATTTCCCTTAGCTTTATATTCTTTTGCTCTATCCATGTTGCAAATGGCAAGATTTCATTCTTTTTATAGGTATATAATATTCTATCTATCTGTCATCTCTCTCTCTCTCTAGATATCTATGTAAATATCTGTATCTATCTATCTATCTATCTCATCTTTATTTATTCATCTACCAGTGGACACTTGGTCTGCTTCCATAGTTTGGCTATTATAAATAATGCTGCAACAAATATAGGGATGTAATGAATTAGTGTTTTTGTATATTTTTTTGGTAAATACACAGTAGTATGATTACTGGATTATAAAATAGTTTTATTTTTAATTGAGGAAGCTCCATATAGTTTTCCACGGTTGTTTTTCACTAGTCTGCATTTTCACCAACAGTGCAGGAGGGTTCCTTTTTCTCCACATTCTCACTAACACTTGTTGTTTCTTGTGTTTTTGGTTTTAGCCATTCTGACAGGTGTGCAGTGATATCTCGTTGTAGTTTTGATATACATTTTTCTGATGATAAGTGATGTTGAGCATCTTTTCATATGTCTGTTGGCTGTCTGTTTGTCTTCTTTGTAGAAATGCCTGTTCATATCTTTTGCCCATTTCTTGACTGGATTATTTGTTCTTTGGGTGTTGAGTTTGGTAAGTTCTTTGTAGATTTTGTATACTAGCCCTTTATCTGATGTGTCATTTGCAAATATCTTCTCCCTTTCTGTCAGTTGTCTTTTAATTTTGTTATTTCCTTCTCTGTGCAGAAACTTGTTATTTTTTTTTAAAGATTTTATTTATTTACTTGCCAGAGATCACAAGTAGACAGAGAGGCAGGCAGAGAGAGAGGAGGAAGCAGGTTCCCTGCTGAGCAGAGAGCCCAATGTGGGGCTCGATCCCAGGACCCTGAGATCATGACCTGAGCTGAAGGCAGAGGCTTTAACCCACTGAGCCACCCAGGCACCCCCAGAACTTGTTATTTTGATGTAGTCCCCATAGGTTTTGCTTTAATTTCCTTTGCTTCAGGAGACATAGCTAGAAAAATGTTGCTAGAGCAAATGTCAGAGAGATTACTGCCTATACTCTCTTCTAGGATTTTTATGGTTTCAGGTCTCACATTTAGGTCTTTAATCCATTTTGAGTTAATTTTTGTGTATGGTGAAAGAAAGTGGCCCAATTTCATTCTTTTTCATGTTGCTGTCCAGTTTTCCCAACACCATTTGTTGAAGAGACTGTCTTTTTACCACTGTATATTCATTCCTCTGTTTTTGAAGATTAACTGACCATATATATGTGGGTTTATTTTGGGTTTTCTGTTCTATTACATTGATTTATGTGTCTGTTTTTACATCAGTACTATACTGTTTTAATTACTTTGTACTAGATTTGAAATCTGGAATTGTGATACCTCTAGTTTTGTGTTTCTTTTTCAAGATTGCTTTGGCTATTTGAAGTCTTTTTTGGTTCCATACAAATTTTAGGATTCCTTGTTCTAGCGCTGTGAAAATGCTGTTGGTATTTTGATACAGATTGCATTGAATGTGTAGATTGCTTTGGATAGTATAGACATTTTAACAATATTTGTTCTTCTAACCCAGGAGCATGGAATGTCTTTCCATTTCTTTATGTCATCTTGAATTTCTTTCATCAGTGTTTTATAGTTTTATATTTGCAGATGACATGATACTATATATAGAAAACCCTAAAGTCTCCACCAAAAAAACCAAAGAACCAAAAAACCCCCCAAAACAAAAACTACTAGAACTGATAAATAAATTCAGTAAGTCTCAGGATACAAAATCAATGTACGGAAATCTGTTGAATTCCTATACACTAATAATGAAGCAGCAGAAAATGAAATTAAGAAAACAATCCCATTTATAATTGCACCCAAAACAATAAAATATCTAGGAATAAACTTAACCAAAGAGGTGAAAGACCTGTACTCTGAAAACCGTAATCTACTAATTTTAAATGTATTCAATATATATAATTGCTTAGGACCTTTGTTTGCTCATCTCTAGAGTCCCTGGGGTCACATAGATCTCTGGGTTCCCTGATGGTCTGGTAAAATGAACTCTTAATGTTTCATATGTAGTGGTTTAGTTGCATTCCTACTTGATAAAACCGTAAATGCTGAAGAAAACAAGTAAACTGAAATAAGACAATTCAAGTGATAACATTCTGGGTAACAGGCTCCAGTACAGTGTCTGTTGCTTATTTAGGTTATATTTGCCTAACAAACACAAAATAAGATGACTAAAATATCATGGCTATTTTTTTTTATTCTCATGGGCTATCTGTAACCAAGAATACTTTTTCTTTCCTGCACAACATTTTTCCTCTTGGAATTGGTTCTCAGCAGTATTCCCGTGTGTCACTATTGACCTATAGTGGGCTCCCCTTGGGATCTTCACATCCACTGGAATAAAAGCTTGGTGGCCAAAAGATATTGCCACTGTGCGTCTCGGTCAGCATGGGCCATTTCTTTTCATTTAAGTGTACACCTGGCCTTCATCTATGAACAGAGATGAGTAATGAGGGTTCTTGCCATCAAATGGCTAAACTCCTTCAATACTTTCAGTGCAGGTAGCTGCAGTCTTGAGCCTTACAGTCTATTTCAACTGGTAGTGTTTGAAACTTAACAGTGAAGCAGTTAACAGTCTTCTGAGTGAGGGTGTCCAAGTGGCCCTCACAGTGCCAAAATACCCAGGGAATTACACAAAGATGTCTTTTAGTATCTTTCTTCATTGAGTCTTTCATTTTTTCCTTTCAAATACCGTGGACGTTAATGTAGTTTATTTTATAGGGAGCTCAGTATATAGTACTAAGTAAAGATTATTGTTTTTATTTACATGTGTGAGATGGGAGGCAAGGGGAAACCAGTGAAGACTGGGTCATCTCATTCCTAAGTAGATTAGTTTAATGCATTCATACTAGTATTTGTCCATTTGCGTTTTTATTTCTTGACTTGCAGAAATAAGAAAACAATGCAAATACTTATGGAGTTAATCAGGGTCAGGGCAAATCAGTTGAAGGTTTTAGCATTTTTG